GTGTCAGTCAGCCTGCGGACTAAAGGGTCCCAGGTTCAACTCCAGTCAAGGTCACATGCCTGGATTGCAGGCTCAGTCCCTAGTAGGGGGCATGCAGGAGGTGGCCAATCAATGATTCTCGCTCATCATTGATGTTTCTCTCTCTCTCTCCCTTCCTCTCTGAAATCAATAAAAAGATATTTAAAAAAAGAATGAGGAAGGGGCTGTGGAAATGTAAAAAAGAGCATTTGACAAAATTCAAATCAATTTATGGTAACAAACTAGGAAATACCCTTTTAAGAAACACCCTCTATAAGAAACTTGCATTTAACCTACTTAATGGTGAGAAACTGGATGCTTTCCTGGTAAGATCAAAAAGGCAATGATGTCCCTTCACATCAGTACTAGTCGACACTGTAAAGTCTAAGCTAATACAGCAAAACAAGAAAAGGAAATAAAAGGTATACAGACTGATAAGTAAGAAATTAAAGTTGTCTTTGTCACATGACATGATTATTTATGGAGAAAATGTCAAAGAAAATAACAACAAAGAAAACCCCTTGAACTAATAAGAGAATAGAGTAAGACTGAAAAATAAATGGTTAATATACAGAAGTCATTTTTTTCCTGTAGATCTAAACAAATATAATCAACTGATCTTTAAAAAATATTTTTTATGTCTTTTTTTGTTTTGTTTTGTTTTATTGCTTAAAGTATTACAAAGGGTATTACATATGTCTCCCTTTTTCTCCCACCCTTGACAATCCCCTGGCCTCCCCTACCCTCCTAAAAAATATTCTTAACTGAGGATATGTTCTAAGGCTTTGAGCATTTTGCCTGATTTTATTTTTTCTTCTTTCTTGGCATATTTATACTTTTTAACTTTCTTATTAGTTGCCCTTAAATTTACAGTATATAGTTACAATTAACCCAAGTCCTCTTTCAAGCAATGTTAAACCATTTCACTGTTTGTATACATTTCTCATAACAGAGTATTCCCAATTCCTCTCTCTCTGCACCTTATAACACTGTTACTGTTCATTTCGCTTATCCATAAGATATTGTTGCTAGTATTATTTGAACAGTGTTATCTTACAAATTGAGAATTTTTAAGGTATTGTTATTTTACCTTCATTTATTCCTTCTCAGATGCTCTCCCTTTCTTCATCATTTTCCTTCCTTTTTTTTTTATATCAGAGAGGAAGGAGAGGGAGAGAGAGATGGAAACATCAATGATGACATTCATTGAGCAGCTGCCTCCTATACGCCCCACACTGGGGCTCGAGCCACAACCCGGGCATGTGCCCTAACTGGGAATCAGTGCTCAACCACTGAGCCACACAGGCTGGGCTCATTTTCTTTCCTTTTGAATAATTTCCTTTAACACTTTTTGCAAGGCGAAGCAGATGTACTGGTGAAAAATTCTCTCAATATTTGTCTTAGGAATTTCTCTCTCACTTTTGAAGGATAATTTCACTCAACACAGTTTTAGTTAGGTTGTTTGTTTTTCTATCAACACTTTAAATATTTCATTCCAGTCTCTTCTTGCTTGCATTATTTGAGACCAAAAAAAAAGTCTGATTTAATTCTTATTGTTGTTTATCCATAGCTAAGGTGTGTTTTCCCCCCGGCTTCTTTCAAGATTAAGTCTTTTAGTGTGCTGTGTGATTTTGGTGTTGTTGGAAGCCAAATATGATGTACTGTGAAGAAGGAATTTTGGTAAATAGGCCTTTAGTGTGAGGTTTTTAAGTGTATCTAACAAGGGTTTAACCTGTGTTTACTATTTTTATACCTGTAGGTATGAGGCTACATCTGTTGTCCTTCTTTTTCTCTCTCCTGTCATCTTTGGGATTCTCTAGAACAGGGGTGGGCAAACTTTTTGACTCGAGGGCCACAATGGGTTCTTAAACTGGACCGGAGGGCCGGAACAAAAGCATGGATGGAGTGTTTGTGTGAACTAATATAAATTCAAAGTAAACATCATTACATAAAAGGGTATGGTCTTTTTTTTTTTAGTTTTATTCATTTCAAACGGGCCGTAGTTTGCCCACGGCTGCTCTAGAAGCTTCTTAAATAAGGTCTGAAGTGTGGTTCTTTCTGTGAATTCCACTAGAACTGAACCTAAATACTGGTCTCTGTGTACCCACCAAGAAGTGGGGATTTCCTATTCTGTTCTTTAACCAAATAGGTAAATTATGCCATCGTAATTACTGTGGGAAGCATCTTCTCTAACCCCTACATGTAGATGTCAGTGGATTAATGATCTTTTTCAGAGACCAGTGTTTAGAGAAATTATGTGCCTGAAAGATTGAAGATGCTATTAAATTTACAAGGAAGTGGTTATGTATAGAGAATATGAATTTTGGTGACCAAGTCATAGAATATTTTTTTCTAGAAAAGTGATCTTAAGTATAATAATGTTACATGCAATAAACAATATCTCAAGAAAAACTATTTTTTTTAAATACATTTTATTGATTTTTTTTTTACAGACAGGAATGGAGAGGGATAGAGAGTTAGAAACATCAGTGAGAAACATCGATCAGTTGCCTCCTGCACACTCCCCACTGGGTATGTGCCCACAACCAAGGTACATGCTCTTGACCCGAATCAAACCTGGGACCCTTGAGCCCACAGACCAGCACTCTATCCACTGAGCCAAGCCAGTCAGGGCAAGAAAAACGATTTTAAATATGGTAATGTTACATGCAATAAACATTATTACAAGAATAAAAGAATTTTAAGTATAATAAATTACCAAAACTGTACTAACATAGTATGATATCACAAAAGTTGCAGGAAATATTAAAAATCTACAAGTAACAGGATTACTTCTATTATATTCTAGAATATCCCCCCTCCCCCGGCTCTATTTTTATCAGTTTATGTTATTCATTATATTCCACAAATGAGTGAGATCATGTGATATTTATCTTTCTCCAACTGGCTTCTTTTGCTTATCATGATGCTTTTAAAGTCTATTTTGTCGGATATGAGTATTACTACTTCAGCTTTTTTTTCTTTTCCATACCTTCATTTTCATCCTGTGTGTTTTGTTTTGAGGTGGGTCTCTTATAGACAGCATATAGTTGGGTCATGTTTTTTTTTTTTTTTTAATCCATTCAGCTACCCTATACCTTTTGATTGGAGCATTTAATCCATTTACATTTAGGGTTATTATTGAGAGGTACTTATTTATTGCCATTTTAATTCTGTATGGCTAGGTTTCTCTCTCTGTTTCTTCTTATTGCAGCAACCCCTTTAGCATTTCTTGTAATGCTGGCTTGGTGGTGATGAACTCCTTTAGCCTCTTTTTGTCTGGGAAGCTCTTTATTTGACCATCTATTTTGAATGATAGCCTTGCTGGATATAGTAATCTTGGTCTCAGATCCTTGCTTTCCATTACCTTGAGTACTTCATGACATTCCCTTCTGACCTGTAGAGTTTCTGATGAGAAATCAGGTGTCAGCCTTATGTGAACTCCTTTGTAGTTAACAGTTTGCTATTCTCTTGCTGCCTTTTAAGATTCTCTCTTTGTCTTTAATTTTTGGCATTTTAATTATGATGTGTCTGGGAGTGGGTCTGTTTGGGTTCTTTTTTTTTTTTTTTTTTTTTTTGTGAAGGGCAGCTGCCTGGGGTGTGGGCTCCATCCCCAGTGGGTGGGCGTGGAGGAGGCAGCCGCAGTTTTGGCTCCAGTGACTTCGCAGTGGCCATTTTTTTTTCAATATATTTTATTGATTTTTTTACAGAGAGGAAGGAAGAGGGATAGAGAGTTAGAAACATCGATGAGAGAAAAACATGGATCAGCTGCCTCCTGCACACCCCCTACTGGGGATGTACCCACAACCAAGGTACATGCCCTTGACCAGAATCGAACCTGGGACCCTTGAGTCCGCAGGCTGATGCTCTATCCACTGAGCCAAACCAGTTACGGCCTGTTGAGCATTTTTAACATCATTACTCTGAACCCTGTTTCAGATAAATTTCTTATCTCTGCTTCACTTATCTCTTCTCCTGGAGAATTTGCTAGTTCTTTCATTTGGAGGTTGTTTCTTTGTTTCCTCATTTTGGTTGTCTGTTTGTATTTATGACTATGTTTTACATAGATCCTCTATACCTCTCAATCTCTATTGCAGGAAAGTGTTAAAGACTGTTTCTGACTAATTGGATCAGGCAAAGACTCAAAGCCTCCAGAGACCGCCCTCAGGTGTGATAAATTTTTTTTTTCAACAGGGTGGGGCAGTTGCTATTGCCTGGAGGCTAATTGTTACTTTTAATTTCTTAAGTGGCCTCAGGGCCAGGTGTTTTCCAATAGGGTGTGTCGACTGTCTTCCCATCTGGCAAGGCAGATGTCTACTAGTATGTGGGAAAGATGTCCTCCGCTGTGTGAGGGAATGACTCAGCCCAGGAAACTTGGGCTGTCTTCCTTCTGAGCTCTATCCCCCAAGTCCCCAATCCTGGGTTCTGCTCTCACCGCTCCAGTCCATTTCTCCCTCCCTCTGCCAGAGCACAAGGTGGATGGCTCCACAAGGAATTTTTGTGCATTGGTCCTTTAAGAGGGTGCCCGAACTTTCAGCTGCCACTCCCTGGCAGACAGCACCCCACTGCTTTTCACAGCTAGATGTTATGTGGGTGCCCTCCTCAGTTTGGTGTTCTCTGCTGGGGAGCCCAGCTTCAGGATTACATCCCAGAGTTCTCAGTGGCACCCCTCCCCCCCACAGCTGAGATATCTCTCTGGAACTTCAGTTGCTGTCTGTGGGTGCCCAGCCAGCCCTTTCGCACCTCCACTCCTCCTACCAGTCTCTGTGCGGTCTCCACCTTTGATCCTTGGGTATCAACTTCTCTCCTGTGAGTTTTCCATTGATTATTCAGGAAGCCTTTCCATATTTCAGTTGTAATTCCAGCTTGTTCCTGGGAACATGTTCATGCAGCATCCTCCTACTCTGCCGCCATTTTTCTAGAATATTTTGATACCACAATATACGTGAACTTCTTATGAATACATATGTGGGATGCTTTAGGATTCAGTGGCCTTTGAGGATGTGGCTGTAAACTTTACCCTGGAAGAGTGGGCTCTGCTGGATCCTTCACAGAAGAAACTCTACAGAGATGTGATGCGGGAAACCTTGAAGAACCTGGCCTCAATAGGTAAGGGTGTCAACATTCCTTCATTTAGCAACTTAGAAAACAGATGTTTCTTGTCTATCAGCATTATTCTCTGATTTGGAATGGGGAAAGAGAACACTTTTGTAAACAAACCAGGCATAGTCAGAGCTCATCACAGACCTGCAATGTAATAATTCTTAAACTTTTTTATTTTTCTGGGCCTGCATTTCAGGAAGAAAATTGGAAGACCATAACATTGGCGATCAGTACAAAAATCAGGGAAGAAATCTAAGGTAAGTTATATTCACAACAGAAATCAGTGTCCCCACAAGGGGATCTTCATATGTGATGAAAATTTAAAAACAAGCAGACCCTCCTCAAAAAATTAAAAATGGAATTGCCTTATGACCCAGTGACTCCACTTCTGAGTATATATCTTAGGAAACCCAAAACATTAATTCAAAATACTATATGCACTCCCATGCTCATTGCAGCACTCTCTACAATAGCCAAGATATGGAAGCAACCCAAGTGCCCATCAGTGGACAAGTGGATAAAAATATTGTACATATATACAGTGCAATACTACTCAGACATAAAAAAAAAGAATGAAATCTTATCACTAGCAACAGCATGGATGGCCCTAGAGCAGGGGGGGGCAACCCCTGGCATGCGTGCCAAACATGGCACGCCAGTAACTTTTGCTGGCACGCGAAACCCTCTCTTATAATCTTCCATTTACAATATTTTTCTTAATATCGACTTTTTTATTTTTCAGATAAATTCAGTGTAGGTGCATCTTAGATAAATAATTTTACATAATAAGTTATCTTAAAGACCATAGACATGGATTGATGAGAGAGGGGAAGAGCAATTTCTATGCCTCTGCCTTAACTCTCCCTGCCTTCCTAGATCTGACCAGTGTTTTGGTTTCATCCACATACGCTTGTGAATCTTTGTTCTCAGTGATGAATTTTGTTAAGTCTCGTAATAGGAGTAGCCTGACAGGTGAAAGTAGTACCTCGTGCATATCTCTGAAGGTCATGAAATATAAACCTGATGTAAAATCTCTGTCATCAGTGATGCAGCAGCAAAAGTCCCACTGATAATATCAAACGGAGTCATAAAGTTTTTTGTCGGACTATCAGTGTACGTGTATACATTAAAAAGTAAATGTATTTTTCATCAACATATACTGTGTTTTTTGTCGCTCGAATGAATTTTATTATTTCTTCAAGGTTCTTCACATACATACACCTTAAGAGATATCAAGTAGGTGTAACATGTTCTCAAAAAATTAGGGTTGGTACGCAGAAGAATTTTGAGTCAGAGATTTTGCCGGTTTTGGCACGCACTCACAAAAAGGTTGCCCACCCCTGCCCTAGAGGGTATTATGCTAATGGAAATAAGTCACACAGAGAAAGACAAATACAATATGATTTCACTTATATTTGGAATCTAAAGAACAAAATAAACAAAATAGAAACACTCATAGATACAGAGAACAGACTGGTGGTTGTCAAATCAGAGTGGGGTTGGTGGCTGGGTGAAAAAGGTGAAGGGATTAAGAAGTACTAATTGGTGGTTACAAAATAGTCATAAGGATGTAAGATATAATATAGGAAATGTGGCCAATAATTTTGTAATAGCTATGTATGAAATATCAAGGGGACAACCACTATGCTGTACACATGAAACTAATACAAAATAATATTATATGTAAACTGTAATTGAAATAGTAAATAATAAAAACAGACACAGCTTCAAATTTATTTTTTTTTTTTAATATATTTTATTGATTTTTTACAGAGAGGAAGGGAGAGGGATAGGGAGTTAGAAACATCGATGAGAGAGAAACATCGATCAGCTGCCTCCTGCACACTCCCCACTGGGGATGTGCCCGCAACCCAGGTACATGCCCTTGACTGGAATCGAACCTGGGACCTTTCAGTCCGCAGGCCGACGCTCTATCCACTGAGCCAAACCGGTTTCGGCAATTTATTTAATTTTAGAAAAATTTTACCAAAAATGTTTTCTAAATTGTGACATAAGATGTTCAGTGTTTCCAAAATAGTTTACTTGGAAACAGTATTCAGAAACTCCATATATGAATAGCACTACTTTAATAAAGAAGGTCAAACCTTCCTTAAGAGCATTCATTATATTCAGTTTCAAACAATTCAGACAGGGCAGAAAACCTACTCTTTCCCTATAAATTGTAAAAAAATAATTCTAATGTTTGTGACTAAATGTAAATTAGTAAGTCACTAATCATGTACTCCTGGTTTTTTTATAGACATATGGTAGAGAGAGACTGTGAAAGTAAAGATAGTCAATGTGGAGAAAACTTCAACCTTATTTCAAATCTTAATCTGAACAAGAAAACTTCTAAAGTAAAACCATGGGAGTGCAGTGTGTGTGGAAAAGTCTTCATGAGTCGTTCATCCCTTAATAGGCACATGAGATCTCACACTGCACCCAAACCATGCAAGTATCAGGAATATGGAAAGAAACCTTACAAATGCAAGATATGTGGGAAAGCCTTCAGTTATCTTCAACCTTTTCAAAAACATGAAAGAAATCACAGTGTAGAGAAATCATATAAATGTAAGGAATGTGGGAAATCCTTTAGATATCGTCAATCTGTTCGAAAACATGAACGAACTCACACGGGAGAGAAACCCTATCAATGTAAACAATGTGGGAAAGCCTTTAGATATCATCAAACCTTCCAAACACATGAAAGAACTCACACAGGAGAGAAACCCTATGAATGTAAGCAATGTGGTAAAGCCCTCAGTTGTCCCAGTTCCTATCGAAGCCATGAAAGGACTCATACTGGAGAAAAACCCTATGAATGTAAAAAGTGTAATAAAGCCTTCAGTTGTCCAAGTTCTCTTCGAAAACATGAAAGAACTCATACTGGAGAGAAACCCTATGACTGTAAGGAATGTGGGAAAGCCTTTATTTCTCTCGGAAGCTTTCAAAGACACATGATAACACATACTGGAGATGGACGTTATAAATGTAAGGACTGTGGGAAAGCATTCAATTGTCCCAGTTCATATCGAATACATGAAAGATCTCACACTGGAGAAAAACCCTACGAATGTAAACAATGTGGTAGAGCCTTCAGTTGTTCCAGTTCCTTTCGAACACATGAAAGAACTCACACTGGAGAGAAACCCTATCAATGTAAGGAGTGTGGAAAAGCTTTCCATTGGCTCACGACTTTTCAAGTCCATGTGAGAACTCACACTGGAGAGAAACCCTATATATGTAAGCTATGTGGTAAAGCCCTTAGTTGTCCCACTTCCTTTCGAAGACATGAAAGAACTCACAGTGCCGAGAAACCCTATGAATGTAAACAGTGTAGGAAAACCTTCAGTTCTGCTCTAGGTTTGCAAATACATGAAAGAACTCACACTGGAGAGAAACCCTATAAATGTGAGGAATGTGGGAAAGCATTTGTATCTCTCACAAGCTTTCGAAGACACATGATGACTCACACTGGAGATGGCCCTTATAAATGTAAGGAATGTGGGAAAGCATTCAACTGTCCCAGTTCATTTCGAATACATGAAAGAACTCACACTGGAGAGAAACCTTATGAATGTAAAATATGTGGTAAAGCCTTCAGTTGCTCGAGTTATGTTCAAGTACATGAAAGAACTCACACTGGAGAGAAACCCTATGAATGTAAAGAATGTGGGAAAGCTTTCATTTATCGTACAACCTTTCGAGGTCACATGAGAGTGCACACTGGAGAAAAACCGTATAAATGTGAAGAATGTGGGAAAGCCTTTAGTCGACCCAGTTCATTTAGAAGCCATGAAAGAATTCACACTGGAGAGAAACTTCTTCACTGTAAGCATTGTGGGAAAGCCTTCAATTGGCCCACATCCTTACATAAACATGTTATAAGAATGCACACTGGATAAATTATAACTGATAAATACAGGAAGGTTTTCACTCTTTATAAATACACTCAAAGTTATGTGATAACTCCACTGGAGAGAAATAGCTATAAATGTAAGTTATATGGGAAAGCCAATGCAAATTAATTTAGATGTAATACTCCAGAAAATTAGTGACATAAAAGAAATGTTTCAAAGCTAAAAATATATTTTCTTTATCAGAGACTCATCCTGAAATTCAGTCTCTGGACTATGAAACTGTCTCTGGGCCTATTACTTTTGCCAATGAGCAATTAGTTCAGGCAATATTGTAAGTACTCTTTAAGCAACAGAATACACTTTTAGTAGGTAGTTTTTCTTAAATAAGCTTATAAAATTTTTGTTTTCCCATTTTAAAGTCTGTTGGATCCATGGGTGAGTTGGAATATAATTGTACTACATACTAGTAGGATTAATTTTTATACAAAAACCTAACCCTGTAAATTAAGGGAAATAGTGACACATTGGAATTTGTTAGGGTTTTCCTATTGGCTTATGTGGCAAGTACTGGATATTTCTTACCCATGATAAATATTCCTTCTCTTAGGAGAAAAGCTTTCTTTGTCTTTCATCAAAAGAGCCTTACTAATTTTTCTTACTAAAGGATATTTGGCATAAACTTGTAAATATGCAAAGTTTATTATCTACACTAATAAAAGAGAAACATGCATATTGGTGTCACTCTGCTACATCCACCAGCCAATCAGATGACTATGCAAATTAGCCCAACAAAGATGGCGGTTAATTTGCATATGCAGGCACGAAGACTGAAGACTTAAGTGGCTTGGCTTCTCCGCTGAAGCTGGACCAAAGGCCTGGGTCCCGGGTGCCGGATGAAAACCGGTGCCAGCAGCCAGGGGAAGGAAGGTCTATTGCGCAAATCTTCATGCAACAGGCTTCTAGTAGAGTATAATATCACTTGAATTGCTATTTACATCTTTCCCTTTACTCTGTCATTCCCTCTGGCTGTGACTTGGAAAACAGACTTCACATTAAGAAGAGCTACCCTGGCCGTAGTCAGTTTGGCTCAGTGAATAGAGCGTTGGCCTGTGGACCAAAGGGTCCCAGGTTCGATTCCAGTCAAGGGCATGTACCTTGGTTGCAGGCTCGGCCCAGGCCCTGGTTCGCTTGTACAAGAGGCAACCAATCAATGTGTTTCTCTCACATCAATGTTTTCCTCTGTCTTTCCCTCTCCCACTCTCCCTAAAAATCAATGGAAAAATATCCTCGGGTGAGGATTAACAAAAAAAAAAAGAGCTATCTGTATTAACATCAGCCTCAAACTTACAGAATAATCTTAAAATGTTTACAAGTATAATTATTTTATATTTAAATTCACAGCTACAATATATTTGCACCACAGCTACATTTTTCCCTCAATCCAATAAATCCTACGATACTCCGATGTCACTATTTAAGGTATTGTTTACCTATAATACAATTAGAATGATTATTTGCTATCATTCAAGTCAACCAGTGGCATCACCATCCCTCTATTCATATTGAGTACCTACTATGTGCCTGAGCTGGACACCAGAAATACAACAGTGAACATAACTAAAGTGGTTACTGCTCACAGTGTTTCAAGTTTGTGAGATTAAAAGCACGTTTCTAACTACTTTCTTATGTGTTTTTAACACTTAAACTCTGATTAATTTTTAATTATAACATTATCTTAGGTAGACCAATAAGCTTTTCTATTTCACACACACACACAAAAAAAAGATACCTGTGACAGGACAACAAAATGTAGAATTGGAGATGGCTTTCCTGAAATATGTTATGTCAACATTAGTAAGGTTGTGCCCTACATTTTCCAGAACATTTCCTGTTCTTTTATGCTTTCATGTTTAAAATTCACTAATAACCTCATTTGCATGAGATTCAGAAGGCCTCAGTTTTTGAACCATAGGGCACAGAGAGACAGATGCATAGACGTTTTATATATACCTGCTTCCAACCCATTGTCATTATTTGTCCTGCCAGTCAAGAGTGTCCTAAATGCCACTAGCAGCTACATGACTTCCAGTTTCTCAGAACTGTAGGTTTCCACAGATGCCTCCACAAGATCCACAGCAAAGATCTGTCCTTTTGGCGTTTTCTAAAAGCCCTCAAGTGTCCACCAAACAACAAATTCAGACTGTTGTGTTTAAGAATGTTCTCTGAAACGCTGACTTCTCTAGACTGTACTTGTATAAGGTCTAAGTCGCAAAGTAAACAACTCATTCTGTTACTATTGCTAGTGACTATGTGTTCCTAGACACACAGACAGCTACAGAGGTGCTGTCAAGAAGTACATGGAGTCTGGTGCAGTGACTGCTCTGACTCAGTCCTTCCTCACATCAGGCAGACTGGATATTTTCAGTTACAGCTGAACATAAGTCCTTAGGACATTGTCAGTTATGTTTGTATGTGATTTAAAACAGTGTTCACTGTCGGTTTTTTGGTGTGTTTTTTTTTTTGGTTTATTTTGGTCAAAAGCTTCTATAGATGTTTCTTAGAAATTTTTTCAACTGTTTCAAACAGCTTATGTTCTAACAAATATATGTTACACTTACTGACAGGATGTATTAATAAAACATCCCATTGCAATTGTGGATTTTAGGTCAATTTGTGATTGTCAAGTTAATCATACATTTTAAATCAGTGTTATGTATTTTTTCCTCAGGCAAGTTTTTATTTTTATTTTCCTATAGTTAAAAATGTTTGTGATTAAACTAACCTCTCATTCATTCTTTAATAAAACCTTATATCATGGCTTTGTTGGTGCCTTCTTGCCAAAAACTGTAGGATCACATCTGTACTAAAGAAAGCGGTGTAATGAATTGTGATAAGGATGACCACATACCATACATGATAATGGGTTGCATCAGTAAGAGATCTTATGCAGTTTGGGCTTGTGGTAAGTGATGGGATAGGTATTCCAGGAAGGGAAATGTTCCTGTGTATTGGATACTCTGAGGAGGAAAACTAAATTCTGTCTTTGGTAATCATATTAGTTCTTACCTAAACATGGGAATATTCCCTATAGTATATGGGACACTTTCATATAGAGTACCTCAGTTAAAATGTATAGTCGCTTGCTCTTTAGCAAACTTTATAATATCAACTGACCTTTTGGATTCAGATAAATCAGTGGTTCTCAACCTGTGGGTCCCGACCCCTTTGGGGGTCGAACGACCCTTTCACAGGGGTTGCCTAAGACCATCGGAAAACACATATATAATTACATATTGTTTTTCTGATTAATCACTATGCTTTAATTATGTTCAATTTGTAACAAATTGAAAACACATCCTGCATATCAGATATTTACATTACCATTCATAACAGTAGCAAAATTACAGTTAAGAAGTAGGAACAAGCCGAAACCGGTTTGGCTCAGTGGATAGAGCGTTGGCCTGCGGACTGAGAGGTCCCAGGTTCGATTCCGGTCAAGGGCATGTACCTGGGTTGCGGGCATATCCCCAGTAAGGAGATGTGCAGGAGGCAGCTGATCCATGATTCTCTCTCATCGATGTTTCTGGCTCTCTGTCTCTCTCCCTTCCTCTCTGTAAAAAATCAATAAAATATATTAAAAAAAAAAAAAAAGAAGTAGGAACAAAAATAATTTTGTGGCCGAAACCGGTTTGGCTCAGTGGATAGAGCGTCAGCCTGCGGACTGAAAGGTCCCAGGTTCGATTCCGGTCAAGGGCGTGTACCTTGATTGCGGGCACATCCCCAGTAGGAGATGTGCAGGAGGCGGCTGATCGATGTTTCTCTCCCATCGATGTTTCTAACTATCTCTCTCCCTTCTTCCCTGTAAAAAATCAATAAAATATATTTTTAAAAAAATTATTTTAAAAAAAAATAATTTTGTGGTTGGGGCTCACCACGACATGAGGAATGTATTAAAGGGTCACAGCAACACAAACCTAGCAAGAAAGAAAGATAAGGTCCCTATTCCATTTGAGCCTTTTTTGTTCAGAAACTATGGATGGTCTTGATGCAGTTTTTTAACATTCCTCTCCTGTCAGGCACTAGACTTAAAATACCCACCATTTTTTGTACAGCCACTATGGAAAACAGTATAAAGATTCCTCCAAAAACTAAAATGGAACTATCATATGATCCAGCAATCCCATTTCTGGATATATGAAGAAAATAAAAACAAAAAATATATACATGGACCCTATGTTCATTGCAGCATTATCCTATATAATAAAAGGGTAATATGCAAATAGACCAAATGGCAGGACCAATCAAAACATAATATGCTAGCCCTAACCAGTTTGGCTCAGTGGATAGAGCGTCGGCCTGTGGACTGAAGGGTCCCAGGTTCGATTCTGTTCAAGGGCATGTACCTTGGTTGCGGACACGTCCCCAGTCGGGAGCGTGCAGGAGGCAGCTGAATCGATGTTTCTCATCAATGTTTCTAACTATCCCTCTCCCTTCCTCTCTGTAAAAAAATCAATAAAATATATTTTAAAAAAAATATGCTAAGGCTGCTCAACCACTCGCTATGATGTGCCCTGACCACCAGGGGACAGTCAACCAGTCGCTATGATGTGCACTGACCACTGGGGGGTACATGCTCCGACCAGTAGGTTAGCTTGCTGCTGGGGTCCAGCTGATTGGGACTGAGCAAGATGGGCCAGACACACCCTGGAGCCCCCCCCACAGTCCCTCCCTGGCCTGATCGTGCACCGGTGGGGTCCCTCAGCCTGGCCTGCGCCTTCTCCCAATCTGGGACCCCTCAGGGGATGTCAGAGAGCCAGTTTCAGCCCAATCCCGCAGGCCACTCCCCTTGGGAGGGCGCCAGATGCAGGGCTCATGGCTGGTGAGAGATGCGAGCCTCTCTTGATCGGGACTAATTGGGCGTGAACCCATGGCAGTCACAGTGGGGCCAGGATGAGCAGGAGCAGCAGGTAGGAGCTGCAGGCAGCGTTGGACTGCAGGTTTCGGCCTGATCCCTGCAGGCCACCCAGAGGGACCCCACCCATGCACAAATTCATGCACCGGGCCTCTACTTTATAGTCAAGACATGGAAACAACCCAAGTGTCCATTTGATAGATGAGTGGATAAAGAAGTGGTGCATATATACAATGGAATATTACCAATGAAAATGAATGAAATCTTGCCATTTGCAACAACAATGGACCTAGAGAGTATTATGCTAAGTGATATAAGTCAGACAAAGAAAGATAAATATATGGTTTCACTTACATGTTGAATCTAAAAACAATGAGATTAAACTGATGTTTGATAGAAGAGGAGTGGGGGAATGGGTGAAAAGAAGGTGAAGGGAAATATAGTTAATATGATAAATTTGCATGGTGATAAATGATTACTAGGCTTAGTGTGGTGATCACATTGTAAGCTATATAAATATTGTACACCTAAAACTAATACAACATTGTATGCCAACACTTTGGGTATATAAGGAAATAATGCTTTGAAGAAAACAGTAACGTGAGGTAATAGACGGCTGGATATGTGTGTGTCTCTCTTCTCTATAAAGGGTCAGGGCCTCAGTGAGTGAGAATGTCCTTATTGATCATTTTTACTTCCACCATCTAATTCATTTTAAACACTGAGGAGAAATTACTCCAGTGCAGATGTCAACAGTGGGGAGCAATATAGGCAGTTGATGGCTGTGGTTAACAGTAATGGTTTCAATAAAGGTATAGATGTGGTTAAAAGTTTTATTGCATGCCCAGCCAGAGTGGCTCAGTGGTTCAGCGTCAACCTATG